GAGAAAGTAATTAGATCGTTGACTAATGGAAGAGTAATTAATGTTTAACAATTTCAAAATTTCTATATTTTACTGATTTAGTAGTAAAAATAGGAAAAAAAAATTACTAATGTAAAAATTGGTAAGTAAGATTGACTAACTATTAATTAGTCAATCTATTAGCTGGACTATCTATCAGTCAAACTATTAGTTATTTAAATTACGAATAATTTTACTCTATAGTAATTTTAATAATAATTTATTTTAAATAACTAATTTGATAGTAAAATATCAGGCAATGATTCAAAGAGTACACTGAAAAAAAATTTATTTGATTCAAATAATCGATTAATTGACTACCATCAATTAAATATTTACTTGAATCAAATAATATTTATTGGAGTTAATTAAATGGTATTTGAACCAATAATTTCAGTATTTGAAGCAAATACCATTTAGTTAACTCGAATAAACATTATTTGATTTAATTTCTTTTCTACTTCTTTTCTATACTAACTCTTTAAATTAAAATTCTTAAAAATGTTTACTAATTTAAATTAAAACTGATTTTTAGAAATTACTATTAATTGATAATTTACAATTGATAATTAAAATTAGTAAAAATATTTATTGATTTGAAGTTGTGACTGCCTTTTTGCTATAGAATTAGTAAATTTTAATAAAAAATTACTATTTATTAGCAAATTTATAAAAATGATTACTAATTTTAATTAGTAACTGATTTTTTGACTTTGAATTTGTAAATTCTACTAATAAATTTGAATTTAACTAATTTATTATTAAAATTTACGAAAAAAAAAAATATTAAAAAATAAAATAGAATAAAAAATAAACTTTTCACTCACTATTTTCATTACCTAATTATTACCACATTTTTGTAAGAAATAATTAATATATTTTACATTAATAACTATTTTTTTAAAACTTACGAAAAACACACAGTAATGGAAATGACTATTTTTAAACACTCGGAATGAAAATTATTGACAAAAGAAAAAAAAATCCCCGCTACAACTTTTTCCCGATTGGAATCAATGTAAGTAGAAAATTACGAGTCATATAATTAAAGCAAAAAAAAAAAGAAAAAAAAAGAACGATTGGAGAAGCAGCAAGTCCAATTATTTAGGATTCAATGGGAGAATAAAGAACCGGTTGCTTGAATCTATTCGGCAGAATAATTAGACGACTTTAAAAAGAAAAGTCCAAAGAGCAAAATTTAAAATATATATTATTTAAATATTTTACTAAAATGTATTTTACAGTAAATTTATGAAATCAATTTGAACAAAAATTTACTTTTATTTAATTTACAACTCTAAATTTGAATTAGTAAATCGAAAATGTTTACGAATTTAAATTAGTGACTGACTTTTTACTTTTGAATTATTAGTATATTTTACTAAAACATATAGTAATTGCAACTAATTTATTAGCAAACTCTGAATTATTAAAAATTTACACTAATTTGAATTTTTGACTCAATTTTTTTTTAAATTGGTAAATTTGACTAATAAAGTAGTATAGACATTACTATTTATTAGTTAAGTTTTCTAAATAAAAAGCCAAAGGTCAGGCACTAATTTAAATTAGTAAACATTTTTCCTAATTCAAATTTAAAGTATAAAAAATAAAAATATAAAATACTCTTTAAATCTGAATGAGTGAAAAGTCCACTAATTTAAATTATTAAAAATTTCCACTAATTGTTAGTAACTTCTCACTGAAACTCTAGTAAAAAATTTAAAACTACTAATTGAAGTAATCCAATTTTACTAGCAATTAATGTAAATCTTTACTGATTTTAATTAGTGCACGACTTTTCACTAATTAAAATTTTAAAGAATACATAACTCTAAAATTTTAATAAATATTAACTGAAAATTAATTTCTCAAAGAAAATAAAATGAAAAATAGAAGAAACAAAGAGTAAAAAATTCTATCCTCTTTAAATAGTAGCAAAGAAATTTGGTAAAATTTATTTAAAAATTTGGTAAAATATTGTAAAAATTATAAAATATTAGCAAAAAAAAAATCCTCATTCCCCTTAGTAAAATGTTTAAAAATTTTAAAATACTCACAATTCTCACCCTCTGCACTTTACGTCTCAATAAAATTTTGCATATTCTCAAACAAAACCATCCAATATATAATATTCGCCAATTTTTTTCTCCCTTGTCAAAGAAAAAAAAAAATTTGCATAATCCCTAATCTGTCCTTTTAAACATTTTCAACAAAAATCACTAAACTACTTTTCTCTCTCTCTCCCTCTCTATTTTCAAACAGGTAGTCCTGGGAATATTTTAAGCTCCACTCGCAATAAAATTGTTTTCAATACACTATTTACCATTAGAGGAAATGACCCTTCGACGTTTCCGGAAAAGATGAAAATGTCACGAACAAGTGGAATTCATTGACACTGGTCGTCGAAGAAGCTGAAGAAGAAGAAGATGATGAAAAAATTATTATTCGACGTCACGAGTCACATTCTTTTGTGCATAAGATTTCGGTTTGTGCTTCAGCACGTACAAAATTTCACCTGCCTGCCAGGGACCTTGCAACAAGTGAAAACAAATAGGTTCAATGTACCTGTTTCGTGTTTAGGGCCCCCGTCATTTACCTTCACAGTAAGTTGTCGAATTGAAGGGGGGAGGGGATGGAAGGGGGGCCTTCGAATGAGAAAATAAAGAACGAGGGATCATGAAGTGTACCCCCTCAGTTTAGTGTTGCCGGTGCACGAAGGGAACCACCCCGGGCCCTTCAATCAGAGGGGAAACGATAGGAGGAATCCTAGCAGCAATAACAATAACAACAACAATAACAACGGTTCTCGAGACCCCCCCGAAAAGCAGGTTTTTCACCTGACTCAGGTGCTAAAATTTAATTCCCCTCAAATTTATATTCCGCACGGTGAATTTACAAATTTTACAAACTTTACAACCAAGATTTCTTTTCATTTTAGTTATTTTAATTATTATTTTAGAAAAATAATTTTTTCTCTAATTTTTATTATTTGATTATTAATAAATGACTTTTTAATCAATTTTAATATTTAATCAATAATAAACTAGGAAATATTTTTAGAGAATGAAATTCAGCAAAAAAAAAGAAAAAGTAAAAAATATCAAAAATAAAATACGAAATATTTTTCAGAAAGAAAAATTTTCTTGAAGAAAAAAAAACATCTAATTATCTCTAAACCTTTAATAACACACTGATTACTAATTCCAAATTTTCAATCCCCGTTAGCAATCAACTTCAAATTGTATAGAGAAACACTTCCCCCTTCAAACAAAAAAAAAACACACAGACCTAATTTAGAGAAACTAGATGAGAAAAGCAGGTAGGAGATTCCTCTTGATTGAGTACCAACCAACCATTAAAAAAAAGAGAAGAAAAAAACGAAGGATTGAGTCAGGAAAAATAATGGCCATCACTGTCTAATTTACGGTAAAATTTTTTGTCTCCGTAATTTTCTTTCAAAAAAAAAAAAAAAAGTTCATAAGGGAGAAGACTAAATTGTTTGTATAGACGACCAGTCGTTTAGATATATGGACACGTGTTTAAAAATCAGACCCCATAGGGTTTTCGGTCCTATATATACTAACATTCCTCCTTCTCCTCCATAAATGTATGCGTGTGTCCTGAGGAAGAAAAAAAAACATTTTTGAGACACTTAATGACTTTTAGGGGCAGGGATATGTGTGCCTACTTGACAAAATTCTAAAATTTTTGTCTCATTTACGGTCCAGAAAACCTCCCTTTTTTCACGAGTCGAAATATGGGACCCCCACCAAGATAATTTCCAGACGTCGAGAAAATGTGGAAACAAAAACATGCCTTGTGAGTCTCCAATTTCAGGACTTGCGTATTTTTTTTCCCTTTTAAGAAAAACATCAAGAATGATCAGTCTTAATTTTTTTGTAAGAAGAAAAAATGCGGAAAGTCAGTGGTGGAAGATAAATAGTCTTTTGAAGAGGAAAAGGTCAGTTTATATGAGGCAAATTATGGTTCAGTGTGTTTGCACTATTAACGTTCGAGAGATTTTTCGAAAATTGTTGATTAATATCAAACATTAAATTTTTCTTACGGATTATGTTGTAAGAATTTAGAGACATTAGTTCGAAAATCTGCAACTATTGTTGCTTTATACCAAAATAATCTGCAACTTTTATTGCTTTATACCAAAATAATCTGCTACTATTGTTGTTTAGCACCAAAATAATCTGCAACTATTGTTGTTTAATACAAAAAAATACTGAATGATAACAACGCAACATTAATTTTTTTAATTATTACGAACTATGCTGTAACAATTTACAAACATTACTTCAATCATCTGCAACTATTGTTGTTTAATACCAAAATATACTGAATGCTAATTTCTAACAGAACGCAAACATTAATTTTTCTACGGATTATGCTGCAAAAATTAGAACTGTTTTGATTATTTACTATCTGAATCGCAAATTTTTCTAAACATTTCTGATATTATTTGCAGCAACTGTGGAATTTTTACTACGGATTATCATGTAATAATACTCGCACGGATATTTGTAAAATAATTTGCAGAATATTATTCGCAATACTTTGCATTTTGTTACGCATTATGCTACAAGTGTGGAGCACCAAACAAAGTACTGCAGTAATTAAGTATAATTGCTGAAACAATTTGCAGCAACAATGGGAATTCTTATTACCGAATATGCTGCAAACTATGCTGCTGTATTAATACTTGTAATGCAAATGTTATGCTCCAGAATATTTATAATAATGTTCAGAATTTTTCTTAACGAATATGCTACAAACTATGTTGCATTAATATTTCTGGTATGCAAATGTTATGCTTCAGATTATTTGCCATCATATTCTTAATTTTTAATACCAAATATGCTACAAACTATGCTGCTGCATTAATATTTGTAATGCAAATGTTAAGAAAGACTACAAACAGCAGCAGCAAAAATCGAATCGAAATTTTTATTAATGATTCAAAAACTCACCGTTTCTGGAAGCAGGACGAAGTAGAGGAAGACCTTCAGGAAGCTTTCTGCAACAAAAGGAAAATTCTTATTAGAAACCTCGTTCAAAAATCGGTACTTTAATCTAACTTTATCCACTATTATTTTTACAGAGTTTTACTTAACATTAAACAAAAAATATTGCAATCCAAGTCCGTTTCTGAACCATTAGACTGAAACTATTTATTATTACAAAACAAAATTTTGAAAATTTGTTCCAGACCAATTCGAAAAATGTAATTGCAGTTGCATTACCAACTAACCATCCTTACAGAAACTGAAAAAATATTTGGCACAACTAAAAATTTGCGTACGGAATTTTTTGTGCCACATCTATTGTATAGATTTGGAAGAAAAAAAAGTAACAGATAAAGAAGTTCCTTAGTTTTGCAAATTGCAAATCGCAAATAACAATTCGAAAAAATCTAGGGACAGTACTAAACGGATCACTCCCCTAATTAGAAATCTTTCTCTCCCTCTGTCCCCCAAAAAAAGGGAATCATCTCTATTAACCCTTCAATGAAAAATCAAGCGCCATATGGCGAATTTCAGCCCCTCTCCCCCTTTTTTTATTTCCACAAGTGCTCCATTGATGGCTTTTGAAACCGCATCGCGTGTTACAAACCCTTTTTTTTCCCTCCTGTATATCACGAAAACATTACGCCACTTCTCTCTCGCAATACACTGTAATCGTGTCGCAACAGGTTTGGACCTGCTCGAACAGGAAAAAGATCTCAGAAATCACCCTTAATATGGATCCAAGAAAGAAGCTGACGAGAAGAAGAGGCTACAAAAAGACGATATGAAACTTTCGCCAAATAGAAGACGTTTTTGAAATAGGAGACATTCTTTCAATGGGGAGAGAAATAGAAGATGCTAGAGAGAAATAGACAGAGAAATAGAGGCAGTTAGAGAGAAATAGAAGCAGTCAGAGAGAAATAGAAGAAACTAGAGAAAAATAGAGGTAGACAGAGTGAAATAGCAGTGGCAAGAGAGAGAAAGAGCGATTGCAACTAGAAATGGGATTTCTTCGAGTGGGGGTGTATTGGGGTGTTTGAAGGTGGTCGGGGTGTAAATGGGTTGGCATCCAAGAAGAGAACGGCAGATGGTCGGCGTGGACCCCGACGTGGGAAGCTCCGAATTCTCCAAGTTCCCACAGCCAGAGTGCACCTGCCTTCCCCACTCTCGCACCCCGTCATGGTAGCTGCGTCTATATAAGCATCGGGGTTGCACGTACAGACCATCATTCGCTTCTCACAAGAGCTACCAAAAACCTCTTCTCAAGAGCAAGCTAAAAAATAACCAAGTGTTTTTTTTTACAAAAAATAAGGAAAATTTTTTCTATCAAAACAAAAATTTTCCAAGTTTTCAAATTCGCGATCAGTGTTTGTGTTTTGTTTTATATAACGCAAAAATAAAAACAGTTCCAAGATGGCCGCCACCACAATGATGACCATCAACCACGTGCTCGATTGCGAAAATGAATTAAACGACAATCTCTACAATTTAAAAATGTGTAGTGGTAAAAACAAAAATTCACCAATGCGTAAACTTCTCAAACCATTGATGAAATTAATCAAGAAGAGAACGCATGCGTGTAAAAAATTACTCGCCAAGAAGAATGAAAAAAATCAACAACAACAGCAATTGGATGTCTTCACCGAGGAGGTTGACAATCAAAATAATTCAAATGAAGCACTCGAACAGAGATTGTTGAGTGATTTGACGAAAGCTGATGAGGGTGCTGCAATCATCACAATTGGACAAGACGGAAAAATGACAGTCGTTCCTGTTTCCTGTTATGTGCCAGTTCACTTTTTGCCAACACTCGCCGGCGATTTCTTCTGGACAACACTGCCACAACAACCCGTGAGTGACTTTTACTACAAGGAGACTATCATCTCACAACATCAACATATCGAACTTCAAGTGATTTGATTCCATCATCAACATCATCACAATCTTCAACCAATTCCAACAATCTTCAACTGTCAGTTTTGGATTGACAGTTCCTGACTTGTAAAGCAGAGGACAAAAATGGATTGTTCTATAAATTCAAAGGTACGATGAGAAAAAGAATTTCAATGATGACATCGAAAAAAAAAATTGTACCTTTTAATGAAGAAAATATTTGACTGTGATCGATAGTTCGATAAGTAGATTTTTAATTTTTTCACATTGTTTCAAAATGCTCAATTTTTAATTTTGAACTTGAGTAAAAAAAAGGACAGAACAGGGTATAAAAAAAAGAAACTTTTGAATTGTTATTTGTCGAGTGATATATATTTTTTCTTATTCACTCATGTGATATTTGTACCTATAAATAAATTATAGGAGAATTGTAATTTATTGATAAATGTATATTTGTGATACTGGCTTTAAATCAGATCGACTTTATAAGTCGAGATGAAAAATAATTCACGTCTTCCAATTTTGTGAAAATAAATTTTTATATTATACTTTACATACTGCTTTATAATTGTGTTATAAACCCCATTCCTTTAGGTTAAGTTTTTTAATTTTCAATTTTAATAATCACAATTTAAAAAAAAACAAATTTTAAGTTGAACAATTTTTAAAATAAATTTAAACTAAAAATGATTTCAAATAAGAAACAAATATTAAAACAATTTTGATTCATTTTAACTTTATTTCACTATTTTTATTTTTGAAAACTATTTTAAATTTGCGTTGGATAAAAAAAACTGAAGAACCACCTGCAGAACTGGAGGAAACAGTAAGTATATAATTTCACATATTTTAATAAATCTTATTTGCAATTTTTTTTTGTTTTATAACGAAAAAAAATTATTAAAGTCAAACAATTGATATGCAAATATTTAGATGCATTTTTGTTTTCATTTGTCAATATTATGAAATCGGTAATTATTTTTCTTTTTTAAATACTTTCCATTATAATTATATTACAATTGCTCTGATTATATTATGATTACTACATAATTAATTTAAACACTTTGAAAAATATAATTAGTTTCTGTTTATAAAATTCACTTTGTACAGAAACTAAATAACTTTTTTTCTAACTAAATAATTAACTAAAAAGTGAGTGTTTAATACTATTATTATTATTAATACTATTACTATTATTATTATTATTATTAAAATTTATAATAATAATTATTATTAATATTAATAGAAATTATAAACAAATAGTTCAAAAATAAATTGCTTTTAAGTAAAAACAATTATTGATTAAAATATTATTATTAACAAAAACATTTAATTTATTTATTTTATTAAAAGACTAAAAATTAATCACAGGCAAAAATTGAAAACTCCTTTGCGAAAAACAAATAAATTTTTTTTTTCAATACAAGAAACCCTCTGTGAATATTCACCTGCATCAAAGGAAAAAAAATAGAGAAATAATTTTTTTTGCTGTGAAGCAAGTGAACTTCCGTCAAAGGTACAGTTTTTAGAAGAGATTTTCTATTCATGCATACCTGGGAGTTTACTTTGAAAACCTTTTACAAAACTATTCAAGTTCTCTTGAGTATTTATGTATATATGTACGCAGGAGAAAAGCCGAAAATCTCTCTCTTTGAAGAGATGAGAATTCCGGCGCCAAAAATTATCTCGAGAAAAATTCAGGTATAGTACCTGTCGACATTCCATAGTAGAAGAATAGAAAAGAAAAAATTTTTTTTTTACTCTCACAGAAAAGCATTCATCATTCAAAGAATAGTGGGGGGCTCTACTAGAGAAAGAAAAGAAAAATTACAAACACAAGAAAAGTAGTTCCAATTTTACGGTATTGGAATGTCATTCAAAAAAAGTGTATTCATTTTTTTTCACGAATTAATCAAACATTTAATTTTTATTTTCTCAAGCAGAAAATTTTTTTTTATTTTATCAAATAATTAAAATAGCTATTTTCTACTTTATTTGCTTGCAATTTTTGGACAAAACATGTTTTGCTTGTAGACAAAAAATATTTGTGCCTTAAAAAAATTTTTTGCTTGTAAACCAAAAAATATTGTTTTCTAAAATATTTTTTCATTTATAAGCAAAAAATATTTCGCCTTAAAATTGCAAACAAATAAAGTAGAAAATTTCTATTTTTTAATAAAAATTTTCTTCTATTTTATTTGTTAGAGAAAGTAGTTTTTATTGAAAAGAAATTTACATTTACAAACAAAAAATATTTCTCCATGAAAAAATATGTGAAAAAATAGAAATATTTATTTATTTATTAAAAAAAGAAAAAGAGAATAAAAATATTTTATAGAAAAAACTATTCTTCAATGAAAAAAATAGAAAAGGAAAATTTTTTTTAAAAAAAATAATTATTAACCCCTTAACAGTCCATGGCCCATATATGGCCACGAAAAGTCGTGCCACCTTTGCGTCTGTGGCCATATATGGCCATCTCAAAAAAAAAATACTAAACATGATTTGATTTTAGTAGCGAAGTACATACTACTGTTTTTGGGGTCGCTGAATCCGAATCTGAAGTCAGATTTAAAAAATTCAAAATGGCGGACCCAAAATGTTGACTTCGAAAAATAAAAAAATTTCAAATTCGCTTTAAACTCGTTACTTGGGGGGTTTTCGGGGTCTCTGATTACAAATATGATGTCAGATTTTTAAAATTCAAAATGGCGGATCCAATATGGCGGATAATTTCAAGATTGATGCGATTCGATTAAAATTCGTTTCTCGGGGGTTTTTGGGGTCGCTGAATTTGAATTTGATGTTCGTTTTACAAAATTCAAAATGTTGGATCCAATATGGCGGATAATTTCAAAATTTATGCGTTTTGATCGAAATTCCGTTCCCGGGGTTTTTTGGGGTCGCTGAATTCGAATTTGATGTTCGTTTTTCTAAATGCTAAATTTTGGATTCAATATGTCGATCAAATTTTTTGAATGTTGACAAATTTGTCTAAAATGTTTACTCAGGGGTTTTTGAGGTAACTTCATATTTTTTTCGCATCAATCTTGAAATCATCCGCCATATTGGATCCGCCATTTTGAATTTTGAAAATCTGACATCATATTTGTAATTAGAGACCCCGAAAACCCCCGAGTAACGAGTTTTAAGGGAATCTGAAAAAAAATTTTTTTTTGAAGTCGACATTTTGGGTCCGCCATTTTGAATTTTTTAAATCTGACTTCAGATTTGGATTCAGCGACCTCGAAAACCCCCGAGAAATGAATTTCCCTTAAAACGCTTTAATTTTAAAATTATCCACCATATTTGGTCGCCATATTGGATCCGCCATTTTGAATTTTCAAAAATTAACCTCAAATTCGAATTCAGCGACCCCAAAAACCTTATATATGATTAAATCATATTTTTTTGTAAACTTTTTTTTCGGACCGTTTTTGGACCACAAGCGATTTTCAACTAGACTGCGAAGGGGTTAAGGAAAGCAAAAAGAGAAAGGAAAAAAATATTTGTCAAATAAAAACTATTTTTCCAAGAAAAAATAATGGAAAAAATAGAAATATTTATTTATTTATTAACCAGGGATAGAATTAAAATTATTAAAATTATTAGGAATAGAAGAAAACAAAAAATATTTTTCCACTAAAAACAAGAGAAAAAATAGGAAATTCTATTTATTGATTAAAAAAAGTAAAGGAAATTAAAATATTTGATAAACAAAAACTATTTTCCCATGGAAAAATAAAAAAATTTATATATTTATTCATTGAGAAAAGAGAAAAAGAAGAGAAATATCTGATAAACAAAAAATGGAAAGAAAAATATTATTCCATGAAAAATTAGAAAAGAAGAATTTATTTATTTCTTTACTAAGAAAAAGAGAAAACGAATAAAAATCTTTAATGAACAAAAAATATTTTTTTAGAAAAAAGAGAGAAACATAGAAAAAATTTATTTATTTATCTATTTATTGGAAAAAAAGGAAAGAGACGAAAAATATTTGACAAACAATGATCCAGTTTATCTATAGTAATAGAAAACTCGAGTACTATGTACACGTGCTATCCATATGTGACAAGCACATGTTCATTTGTAAAAAAAGAAAAAAACTGAGGGGCGTTTGTGAATTCACATGATTTTCCATAGTCTATATTGGGGTGTTGTATGACCCTCTCTCATATGTGTATATAAAAAGAAAAGATAGTTGCAATAATCGAATGTTACATTAGATAAACTGGAATAGAATAACGGACCCACTCAGACAGTGAATATATTTAAATTTCACTGCAGGGGTTAATTCTATTAAAAAAAAATTCCCCCCCGAACACCTGAGGAGACAATTTTCCATAATTTATTCAAACCAGGGGAAAAAATGCCAGACACAATATTTATAATTCACAAATTCAATTTTGCAATTTAACTAAAAACTAATTTGTAATTTTTTATTAATCAATTTATACACCTGAAGGATAATTTCTATTTTTCATTTTCTTACTGACTGTATTTTTTCCGAATTTACTTTTTTTATCTCGTTCAAAAATTTTACAGTATTTTCAAGTTTCAATCATAATAATTATAGTAATAATAAATTATAATAATTTATTTCAACTATTTTTGCACCTAATGGGATTATTTCTCTCAGTGAACTTAATATATTCGTTTGAATATAATTTATTATCCGGTTCAAAAATTTTACAGTAGTTTCAAGTTTTATAATTATTTATAATAATAATAAAAAATAATTCAACAATTTTTACACCTAAAGGAATTATTTCTCTCAGTGAACTTAATTTATTCGTTTCAAATCAATTTTTTCTCTGGTTTAAAAATTTTAAAGTAATTTTGAGTTTAAATCTTAATAATTATAATAATACTAAATATACTCAACGATTTTTACCCCTAAAGAAATTATTTATCTCAGTGAACTTAATAAATTAGTATCAAATTTAATTTTTACTTCTGTCAGAAATTTTATCTTTTCAAATTGTCTATGTTTTGTATCTTAAAAAAATTTCCCTTTGTTTATTATGCAAATTTTTTTGTTATTTCAAACAATATTTATCTCTTTTTTTTATTTTTTGTACAAATTGTAAAATTTTCAAAATATTAATTATTATTAATGTAAAATAATAATTTTTTATTATTAAAATAGAAACAAAAATATCTAGTTAAAAAATAGGAAAAAACTGATTTTTTTAATAATAATATTTGTGTATTTTATGAGAAATAAGTGAAAAAGACAATGAACAGTTTGAAAATAGTTCAGGCATTTAACGCCAGGGTACGTTGGTTTAGAACGAGAAAACAACTTAGAAAGGAACAACCCTTGTGGTATGCAACCCCTCGTGCAGTCCTGCATTAGAAGTCCTTTTCATTTTTCTCCTTTTTTCCCCTTGTTTTCTCAACGTTTTTCAGAATATTTATAATAATTATTTAATTTACAAACTGTAAATATTTTTCCAAAATCTCTACTCTGTAATTTTTCCTTTTTATTCGTTTATAAATAATTTCCAAACAATTTCTTGCAACATTTGAAAAATTTTACAAGAAAAT